TGTTTGATCTTTTCCTTTTTTACAATATATTCATTGTTTGATCTTTTTTACTATTTCTTTACAAAGAATACATTCATCTTTTGTTTACTATTACAAGACATTCATCTGCAATTGCTCATTCACCAGTCCTTTCTTCAAGCAACATAGCAACAATTCCACTTGCTGAAGCAAGAAAATTGACGAATCGGCCACAATCACCACCAGCATCACCGCCACAACAACAACAACAACAATACCCTATGATCGATGCGGAGGAAATGGTGACAATAGAAGAAGCTACTGAAAATGATGTCATGTCAAATGCTTTACAACAACAACAACTGCGTCAAAAACAACAGCAAATACAGCGACAATTTAACTATAATAATTCAACTTCACCTAGGGCTTTGTCTCCGTCAAATTTATCTAGACCTTTATCACCGTCAGTTTCAAGTTTAAAAAATGGAAGTAAATATTTCATTGAATAAATCTCAATGTCGTTAATTTTGTAAAAATTTTAATTATTGTAATTTATCAATTATATGTGTTATGTATATTTTAGATATGTGTAGTCTTTTTTTTTAAATAGGGTTTAATTATAATTATTTTATTTTATTTTGAATTACGGGATTGAAGTATGGTTAATTAGAGGAGGGACTTTTGAATTTTTTTTTAATCATTATTTATCTATTTATTAATAAAATTAAGAAAAACACATCTTTTTTTGACAAAATAATTGATTTATAAATCGTTTTTATTTTAATTAACGATCTTCCATTTTTTGAAGATAGTGAAAATCAACACCTTAGAATAAATTTCGCTCTCATTTAAGTCTTGCAGACTGCGGAATTAACGCGATTATTTTTAACTAATATTAAATAAACTTCCAACGAAAGGTTGCACAATGATTTTTGATCAGGTTACTATATGGGACTGTCTACAGCAAAACCACCTCCGAGGTAAATAATTCATTTTGTGTAAATACAAAATCAAAATTTGTTACACAGAAAAAGGATCTAATTTTAAAAACTCATTTATCCAAATTTAGAAATAAATTAATTATCTGAAAAAATTCATTTAAATAAAAACT